TTATAAAAGGGAGGGTGTAAGTTTTCCACACAGCAAAAGTTGCAGTGTAAAACACCAAAAGTTGCAGTGTAAAACNCAGCAAAAGTTGCAGTGTAAAACACCCAAAGTTGCAGTGTAAAACACAGCAAAAGTTGCAGTGTAAAACACAGCAAAAGTTGCAGTGTAAAACACCCAAAGTTGCAGTGTAAAACGCCCAAAGTTGCAGTGTAAAACACCAAAAGTTGCAGTGTAAAACACCAAAAGTTGCGGTGTAAAACACCAAAAGTTGCGGTGTAAAATTTTGTTCTTGTCGGCCACGGTACAGAATAAAGTGGGAAAACGAGAAAAACAAGAAACAAAACTTGTGATGAGACCACGTGTCATCCTTGGTGTCATCAGCAAAGCACGCGATAAACATCGATACAAAGACAGTTTCAGTCACTTTGTATGTTCCAATTTATTGCTTTGTCCACGCCGTACATAATAAGACAGTACATCTACATTTTATGCATTTTGTTTGACGTGTTCTTGATTTGTTGTTATTTGAGCTACTGTGGCACTGCAGACAAACGCAAACAAAGACAGTCCAGTGCTTAGGGACAGTTTACTACAGTTTTCCCTTCCAGCTGCAATGATACGGAGTATATTCCCTTAAAAAAAATTAGTTGTATTTTTGAGGACAGGGAAAGGAAATTTAGCAAGGGCAATTATCTACACAATCTGCTGTAAATATGTTTGTACAAAAACATTTTACTTCTGTCGCGGTGTAGGGTTAAAGGTCAGCTTCACATCGGCGTGGACAGATACAGGATTTTGTCCATTTTTCAACAGTTTTCTTGTGATTTCTGACGAGTTTGAGATACCCCAGACATCCCAAGACGTACAGAAGAAACTGGCGTTTTTAAACTGTTAGAAACACTATCCTACAAAAGGATATAGTGCGACGTTCGGACCTGTTCACTGAGACAAGAGGAGGCATATAGGCACAGAGAAATCAACAAACCAAGATGGCCTCTCCCATTCAAAAATATATTCTGGAGAAAAAAGCGTGAGTAACCAAGATAGCAGACAAAAACCATACACATCATGGCCTTTGTATATTCTTATTGTTTTGTGCCTGTGTGATATCGCCACTAAGTAACCAAGATAGCAGACAGAACCATACAGGACGTAAATTTTATTGTCTTCATGTACTCTGGCCTTGGACAGAGAAGACAGAGGGAAGCAAGGGGCCAGATCCTGGCCTAAGCACTTAGGCAGGCAGGTATAGGTAGGCAGGATGTGCAGGCAGGTATATGTAGGTAGGATGTACTTAGTGTACTAGTATTCCTATTGCTTTGCCCCTGTGCAATATCTCCCCTAAGTTTTATCCTGGCCCTGTATTTTGCAGTGCTGAGAACAAACAGAACGTGCGGTGTCAGAAATGCCTGGAGCTGGGACACTGGACATACGAGTGCACGGGGAAGAGGAAATACACCCACAGACCCTCACGCACGGTGGAGATGAAGAAAAAACTCAAGGCCAACGAACAACAGAAACTGGCGATCATGTATGCTATGACATTCCATCTATATTTGACATTGCACAAAGTACATGTAACTCCATAGTCATAAGATCTTTGCATCGTAACGTGACGGTGATAATATGTTAAACGTTAGATGAGTGCCTGCATTTCCTTTTCGTAAGGCATAATCATGCCATTTAGTAATCCGTAGGCAGCTGCCAAAATCATCGTACTGTAATTTAGCCATAACGCAAGGTTGTTCGTAATCAGCTCTGAGAATTTAACATGATTCATAATCGGCGCCCAAAATCGTAATTCATAATCACAACTTCCCATGCAGGCCCTCTTAGATATTGATCATTCACTGGATGTCCTCATGGACATCAAGACAGGTATAGTAACCAGGCTGCAAGCTGATGACAAAATTGTAAACTTCTGTTCCAGGCCACCAGAGGGAGCAGCTGGTAAAAAGGAGAAGGTGAAGAAGAAGAAAAAGTAAGTTCACTCTAACTTTCATCTCATGCATTCAAGTAGTTGGACCAGACAGCTGTCGCCATGTTAACTAGCAGACACCCGGTGGTCGCTAAGCATCAAGAATTTGCTTTGCAGATGTTACCTTTCAAGTCTAAAGTCTTGATTTTTTTCCTTCACTGCAGGACGAAGGGTGACAGTGACAGCAGTGACAGCTCGTCTGACAGTGACTCGTCATCCTCCTCATCTTCTGACTCCAGCTCTGACTCCGACTCTGACTCTGACTCCTCCTCCAGCTCTAGTAGCAGCTCCAGCAGTAGCTCCAGCAGTGAGGAGGAGAGGAAGAAGAAGAGAAAGAGGAAGAGAAGAAGGAAAGAATAGCAGCATGACTAGTGTTTTGGATGATGTAGGGTAGCTTGCATTTATTAGAGTTGTAAGTGTAAGAACATAGCCTCTACCAGGCTTCAGAAGCGGCTGGGAAGAGTTACTAGTACTAGTAACAGCTCCCGGAGTGTAGCAGCTACTTTGAGTGGACCAACTCCCCTGTATATTTGGTCAGTTTTTACTCTTTCCAGCTGCTTCTGAAGCGTGGTAGAGGCTAGTAAAAACATAGAACTTACTAGTATTTTCCAAAAGACTTTTATACCAAACAGTGCTGATCTTACTGATCATCAGAGGTGATATTTGTTGTTAGTTGGAAGTAAGTATGTCTATTTGGGTTACGTTGTACCTTATGGGCTTTTATCAATCATGCATAATCTGCAACAGTGGTACAGTTCTTGTAACCATTGTTGACAGGAATAAAGTCAATGATCATGTTTATAAAAAAAAAGTGCAGATGAGTCATTTTTAAATCACTTGTGTGATCAGCTAGTACATAAAACTGATTATTTATTGCTCTTTATATGTTTACATGAAAGGATATCCTTGGTATAGATCTAACCATGGAGTTAAAATCAAGATTGATTTTAACCCCAGGATCTAACTAGTGACTGTCAGTGCAACACAGTTCATTCACCTGGGGCTTGTCAAGTAGCTGACAGGACAGAATTTCAAGTCCAGAACTATTTCTTTCCCCTCTTTGCCAAAATAAACCACAAACCCATCCATCCTACTCAGACTACAAGGTTACTACCTTAGTGTTGCTATAGTTATTTGACAGAGCAGGTAATGTTTATTTTGGAGATCAGTTTGACTGGTTTTGCCAAGTATGTAGTTATGTGGGTCATATTGTCCTGAGTCTTGCCCAAATCAAATAAGAAGACACAGAACATTTGCATCAAAGTGTCAATGTGACAACTGGAAGGGTGGTGAGATAAAGGAGGCAAACCTAATGGACGTTTTTTTCCTGATGATCAGGTTTTGTATTTAGTTATTTTAATTTAAGTCCATGGAGGTAAAAAAAAACACATTTTAGTCTTTCCTTTCAAAGAAGGTCTCCCTGTAACGTTAGCACAGTATATTCAGGAATGTACATGTACATGAGTTTAACATCATAATGTCCTTCGTATCACTGGCGTCTTTTCCAATTCTTATTATTGTAAAAGAAAACAACAATAGCAATGAGGATTTCACATAAGGTTGCCAAAGACTGGTTAATTATTAGCTGTGTTTTGCCCACCCGAAAACCTAGAGTTTACTAAATGGCAAACGATAAAGATTTATTTTCTTCGCATCAAGTTGCTAACGGCTGCCTAATTATTTGCATTTTCCCACCCACATGAAAGGATCCGTGTTGACTTGTCTAATAAAAGAAATGGACAGACGAGAGGGGTTTCATCCATTCACACCAAGCTGTCAAAGACCGGCTGATTATTTTCCTTTTCCCGCCCACCCGAAAATTAGAGGTCATGTGCGAACCCACATGCGATAATGACTCTTCCGCCCATGACGAGGTGTGAAACGGGCAGTTCTTTGATGAAAATAACAAATACGTGACAGACAAATTTGGGGTGACGTACTTTCGACAAAAAGACCTTGGAAATCCCTAGTCTCCACCAGACATGCCAGACTAACAACGCGGGTTTTTTAAAAAAAAAGGTAAAATTTAGCCAACTTATAGGGAGAATAATTGACTAGGGGAGTTTAGCCAGCGTAGAGTTCATTTGCCCGCTTCAGATGGGAAAATTAACCCTCTCCTGGCCAACTACATGTACTAGTATGTATTTCCCTTTTTACCGAATTATAGGATCCGTACTACATGTACTAGATCCGTACACCCGTAGGAAGGCCTGGTGGAGGCTAGGAAATCCCATGAAAAGTGAATCACAGAAAAGTGCTTGGATCTCTCTATTAATGTTTTAGTACTGAAATCGTAAAACAAATCGTAAAGGGAATTCCTAGAACAGAACTGCCTGACATATGCGCCCCGAGGGAGTCGTAAAGTTACGCTAGGAGCGTGCAGAAACGGCCGAGTGAACTATTAGGCTAATCGTGATTGGCTATTACATACGCGCATTGAAAGAAGATCTAAAGGGCTGACGGTGTTTAATATTCCTCACCCTGGATCCTCCTTTCACTACCGGATAGTCTGCAGCACGTCTGGCGTCTCGTGTGTCCGTCTGGAGAGGTAAACCGCTTCATCAAGGTGGTTCTGATTTGATTTGGGAATATTTGTGGGGTTTTAACGGGATGATATAAAGTGGGGAGAAGGGGCGATAGCAGGGGGCCGTGAGGAGAGTCACGATCGCTTGGTACTACTTGACGGGTGTCCGAGATGTTGGTGGTCCGTCTTGTCACTGCCAGGATTCTCGTAGAAAATAAATATCAGAGATTTGGCAATATAGAGCGAGGGTAAATCACTTGCCATTGGAGGTAAAAATGCAATTTTTTTGTCGAAAGTTCCTCCTACTTTTCCAGACCGATTTCTATTATTCAAAACAAGAAACATCCTGAAAACTGTGCCTCCATGCTGAAGTGAGCATCGAGGAATGACAGGACATAATTTCATGCATCAGGCATGGCCAACGATTCATTTAGCATTTTTGGGAAATAAAAATACACGATGAACACCTTGACATACATATTATTCAGTGCATGATCTGGTGCATGATACTGATACTAGTGATAGTAGAACTGAATTCAATCGAGGTAGCTATGCCCATACCAGATGTAAGTGAACACAATCGTATTGCACTAGATAGGACTCTGTGTTACTGTACTATTTCACAAAGCAAATTTTATCCGTATTCTCACTTACAGTCGGATCAGTCCATTAATTCCTGGAGGCCTTTTTAACACATCTAGGTCGCGGAGCCGGTGTGGTCACATGACCGCGGTGTTTCCGTGCCGTACCCATTCATCACGGCTGTCAGTCAGCCACTAGTCCGCCGGGTCTGCTGCATGTGGAAAGACGACGTCGTCAGTCCCCGGACCTCACGCCTGGCACAACAAAGGTAAGTACACAGCTTTCTGCACCAAATATCACGTAGAAAACAAATCAATGTTTGTCACTTGAGCTCCCGATTGCCTACAGAAGGGAGTGGATAACAGAAACCCCGTGTGTGCATCGTGCATTGTCATACAGCCAACTCAGAAAGTGAGTAGGGACGATTTGGGCCCAGCACACTAGGGGACCTCCATTCGGTATTCAGTCGTGTTTTTACGCCTCTGTGCGCAGCGTCATTGGACGCGCGCTGAAAAGTCTTTTTGTTAGCCGTGCATACGTATCCTGTAGAGTGTATGGGTCTCAAGTCTGGTTTTAGTGCATTGTGTGTGCACAATCTCTGAGTTTACACCCTTGCTTACCGAACCGTGCACCCATGCTATTATCATACGCCTGTGAATGCTTAATGGGCTCATGTATCTTTTGTTGGCCCGCCTGCGGGCGGAGCGGACTTAATGGCATTAAGGGTCATCAGTGCTCAAATACTGTAAACAATGTAATGAATAGGACGAGAGTTTCGCAGAATTTTTCTTTGGCGTTGGTTTATTTTTGTTTTGGTTGTACACGATGTTTGTGTACAGACGGGCACGTGCAGCCGGGCGGCGGTTGGACGCCTCAGTGCCCTGATTTATGTGACCCCGGGCACAGGAACGTAAATGTGGAAGTCGCCCTTGATGGCATAATTGAGGTCAAATAGAGCAGGACTACATTATCTCATAGTTACACTGAAAAACAACAGACACAGTCTATCAGGAACGCTTGGTTGTAGAAAAATGAAACTGTTGTAGATCCTTTAGAAATGATTCTATGTAAGGGATGAAGGAGAAGTCAGACGCCAGGTGTTGACATCTGCGGGTGATTCTTTGACCCGTTGGCCCTGTTAAGGGTACTGAAGAGTAACGGGAGATGGTTGATAACACGCCAAGCTGAAGAATCAGAGCTATCACGATTGATCTACATTTTGTACTGGTATCTCTGGCGCTTACGCAGGAATTCGCAAACGCCAATTTGACAGAAATGTCGAAATGCGGATTGTTGTGACAATATGGAGGCGAATTAATAAGCTTCTTGAAATAAATCCTGCTCAGTGATGTGCTCCGCCTTTTTCAAAACGACAAAAGAAGTCGACAATCTCAATTCATCCATTCCCTCTGTGCTTCTGGGAAAGCTGTCTTTACTGACAGCGGCGCTCGCGTCTTTCTTTTCCTCTTTTCCCTGAAACAACGATGTGCTGAATCAGCATATGGCCGAGAAATTAAAAATAATGCAGCTCACGGGAACTGACAAGTACGGTGTGCAGATATTCGGGCTTACATGAATATTTTATGAGAACATAACACAGGACAATATCAGAGAGAAGCGCCCCGCCACAAGGGAGCAGCGGTGTTACGGGGTAGTTCATTGTCATTGTCGGTGGTGTTTTCGTGAATATGCTGCCTTTTTAGGCAACAATTTTTCATAAGTGAAGGGACGACACAACTGTTCTGTGCTCATGTCTATGTCATCAAAGGCGCCAGGTGTGTTGTCAAGCCTTGGGGTGGACTATACCGTATATACTTATCTATCTTTCTATCAATCTCTTATCTTTCGAGCTGTAGCGTTATCTTATCTCTTCCTTCAGCGATAAAAATTTAACAGATGACTCCTTGTGTTCCCTCGCAAGCTTTATTTACAAACCTAAAACGGACTCCCCTCCTTTCGCCCCTAATACTAGTACGCCGTCTGAAGTCCTCGTAAACCGGACCAATCAGCTTTAGGTCATGTTTATCATCCGCCGTCCCTCTTTGAAATTTCCAGCCCCATCTTTTTCTCGCACGATCGATATTCAGAGTAATCAGCGGACGTGTTCGGATGAGTGGATGGAGAAATTAGGGCGGCGGTGTTAGGGCCAGGTGTGACCGTGGAAGGGTACCGTAAATAACACTGCCGAGAATGCTAATGAGATCTGTTCAGGCAGTTTTATGGTACTTGATATTCAGTCCATTTATTTATTAACCTGTAAGCACTGTGATTTGATCTGTGTGGCCCTAAATTTGCATATGTTGTCGGGGGTGTGTGCTCTGATTAAACGAAGGCTTTACGGCTCTGCATCAGTCGATACTTGAACAATCGTGCCACCTCCCCTCCCCCTTTCAACACACGTCGTGTGAAGTGACGAACACCTGTTATAGCTCATGGAATGCGTACTGTTCGGTGTATTGTCGAGTATGTTTGTGATGGCAACTTACCTTTATCCCGAGAGACTGTGCAGTTAAAAAACGATCTCGCCTTTCCAGGGTCGGGATGTGAAACACATAAAATACAAGGTCCGGGTTATGATGGTCGTTTGATTTATAATTCTGTATGAATGATATATGGATCCTTGATCGGCTTCTCAAGTTGTCGTATTTTCTTAGCCCGATTGTTGTCTTACATCTTGTAAGACTAAGGAGCTAGCTGGCATGTTGGCTGAATCTCAAGACAAACAGGCTGACATTCTGATCTTGAGCAGTCCCGAGAAGACGGGGCGGGGCACTTGGCCAGGTGCGCCACACAGACAGGTGTGTTGCGGCAGGCACTTTGAAGTTCCCTCCGTCGGCGCTTTGTACTTTGCATGGGGAACATTGTCGTCAATGACCTCCATTTGACATTTACATGACTTAAAACACGCCAATGTGACAATATGGAAACATAAAAGGAGACACTTACACACCGCAAGAATGCCAGCCGCGGGCAGAGTACTGATTATTAGTCACCGTAGTAGTACTAGTAGTTTTTCCTGTGACAGGTACTAGGAGAGAAGATTATATATTGTTGAGGTTTTTGGCTGCCGGGCATTTATTTCTGACTGGCTTGCCCTTCAAGAAAGCTAATAAGAAAAGGGGCCTGCCAGTAAAAAAATCATCGCGATAATTCCCCCAAAATATCTGCGTGGAGAATACTAGTAGTTTACTAGTATCACAGATTTCATAGGGCTGGCCAATCTAGTACCTCCTCTTACAGCATACGCCCTGGGTATATGTATTTCCGCTGTGGAGTCCAGAGGTCCGATAAGCTAGTCTCGCGGAAGATGATAGAGATCACCGGCCGAACTACCTGTCCGATCCTGTTATCCTCGCCAGTACACATCAACACAGGCCTCTAATACTACTTCATTAGTTTGTGCCCCAACTCTTGATCTAATCACTGAGCATTACTGCAGTGTTCTTTATTCCTTTTGATGCCGTTTTGTCTTGTTCCTTATGTCCATATATGCCCTGAGGGGTAATCAATGCATTCTTGCTATCTCTTCATTTTTCAGGTACAGTACTAGTATTCCCCACGGGGTTGATTTGGCATGCGGCTACCTGTGAAAGTTAGCCTGGTACCATCCTGGTTAGTTTACGTCCGCTCTGATAGTCACTACCCACTAATGGTTGGTGGCGACTATGTGCAAGTCACAGTTCTTTACAACTATGAAATTTAAATCTTTAAATATCTGTTTAGCTGTTGTTACATTACATTTGTAAATTTTAAAACAGCTTAAAATGTTCCTTCGTTGTAATCTTTGACTTATGTTCGCACATGATGTCAACAACTCATCAGAAGGGTGTTGCCCTCTGTCGTCAGTTTTACTGTGCGGAAGGGTGCCCGGGTGTAGAATGTTCGCCCACATCTAGTCTTGTGGTCTGTTATTACACCAGCTCGGCTCCCTCCTACCCTACAATTACATGAGTCGGCTGGATATGATGAACAGGACAGGTATGCTTATGGCCCCCGGCGCGGTGAGTGTGTGGCATGTTTTCTTTCCAACACATTCCACTACAACAACTGAGGGCAGAGCGCAGTGTAGCGCAATCAAAACATCCACAGAGGAAGCCGTTTCTTCTGTTTACAACACTTTCGTTTCAGGGTTGTCTGTGAGTATTGTTTCTTTATCAGATCCGGGCTCTGGCCTGTAAGGCATCAGTGGTCTTGTTGTTATACAAGCCCACTCACCCTGTTATAAGGTTGGTCTACTACTGTAGACTGTTCGTCGGAAAGACGAGTTCTTCCTACCCTCTTTACTCTTAAGCCATTTAGAGGACCCTCGTATATGTGTACAGCACACAACATTGTGAAACGGGAATCCAATGTGAACGTCTAGTAATTTTCATTCAGTGGAAGCACTAGAACTGTATGTTTTCGTTGCTAGGGAAGGCCACAGAGAATTCTAGACGCCTGTAATATGGTCAAGACTAATCTATAACTCAAAATATTATCGACAACAGTAGGTGAGTTACTAGTACTCTATAGTCCTTTATGGAATATTTGGAAAAAAGAAATTGACCTATGTTACTAGTAGTATGTAGGCGGATAACAGAGGTGGATATGAAAATAATACATATCGTTCTGTGTACCAGATAGGGTGAAGGTAATAGTCTGTATATGGTACCAACCATATGTAGTTGTTTCATCTCTGTCAATGTGATGACAAGAACAGTGTGAGAAAGTTACAGCGCCCCCTGTACATTACCATAAGTCACCGCTAACATCTGTGACCCCCCGCGACGCCTATGTGTAAATATGACGTCGCCCCCCTCCATGTTCGTCCGGCAGCGTCACAGCTGTGACGACATGTGTTCTCCTGGTACTTTCACTGCCGTGTTTGGCGCAAATAATCTCCAAGCAGATCCTAGGGTTTATTGTTTATTTGTTTATTTGAATGATCTCCATTAGTGAGTATACACTTATACCCACTATTCTTCCTGGAGTCTTAAAACACGTTACAGACTTATAACACAGACGTACACTTCTTACTGCTATACATAAAATACAACAACCTGTAACTAATTACTTATTTAACCTATCCTATTCTATATACACCAAGTAATGAGCTCGAGGTAAAAGCTTGTTTGAGAGGTCAGAGGTCAATCATACACGTTATATATTTACATTTACATTAATACATACAAGTTATATATTTACATTTTAAAAGTTACTATGCTACCACCAATGCTGCAGGGGTCTGTTTGTGTATGTTTGTGTTTTTAGCCTGTCCTTGACGTGTTT